TGTCCTAAATGGGAGAAAAAAGAAAATTATGCCGAGCTTCGAGGAGAAAGAAGAGATGCTTATTGATGTCATATGTAGAGTTAAATCAATCAAGGAGAGAAGATGTCCGGTTTCTTGACTCGGGTGTAGCAATCATATGTGTGCAAATAAGCGAGTGGTTCTTGGATCTTGATGAGGAATTTTGAAAATCAGTAAAGCTTGGGAATAATTCCAAGATGGTCGTGATGGGAAAGGGTAACATTAGGTTGCAAATTGTAAGAGTTATTAAGGTAATCATTGATGTTTTATATATACCCGAGTTGAAAAATAATTTATTAAGTATTGGACGATTGCAAGAAAGAGGTGTAGCTATTTTGATACAACATGGGGTATGTAGAATCTATCATCCTAAGAAAGGACTTATTATGCAAACAACGAATGTCTGCAAACAGGATGTTCATACTGTTTGCAAGAGTTCTATCGAAAGCTCCCACTTGTTTCCAAATAACTCTTGAAAACAACACTCACCTTTGGCATTGTAGATATGGGCACCTAAGTTTCAAGAGTCCGAGAACATTACGAGTATAAGCAAATGGTGAGAGGATTACCACGATTGAAGGCATCATCTAGAGTATGCACCGATTGCATGGTGGGAAAGCAACACAGGGATGGAATTCCAAAAAGGGGTTTATGGAAAGCATCACAAAGACTATAATTGGTACATGCTAACATCTACGTGACCCAGTAAACTTCTTTCCAACAAGTAAGAAGAGGTATTTCATAAGTTTTATTGATGATTATAGCCGTACGGTGTGGATATATTTTCTTGTTGAGAAATCGAAACTTTTACTATCTTCAAGAATTATAAAAATTTTGTTGAGAAAGAGACATGACCTTTTATTTGTTATCTACGCACGGATAGGGGTGGAGAGTTCACATCTCTTGAGTTCAATGCCTTTTGCAAAGCTAATGGTATTAGCAGGCAACTCACTACGGCCTACACTCCCTAACAAAATAGAGTAACCGAACGCAAGAACAGGACAATCATGAACATGGTTAGAAGCATGCTATCGGAGAAACAAGTTCTAAAGAATTTCTAGACGGAAGCACTAAAATGGACATCACATGTGCTTAATAGAAGTCCCACATTAGCGAGTGAAAGATATGACTCCCGAAGAGGCTTAGAGTGGTGTTAAACCCAATGTTGCTTATTTTTGAGTTTTTGGATGCATTAGTCATGTTCATGTGTCGACAAGTAAGAGAAAGAAGCTGGATGATAAGAGTTTTCGAGTGTGTCGTTGCTAGGGATGAGTGAAGAGTCTAAAGCATATAGACTTTATGATCCAACATCATAAAGTTGTAAGCAAAGATGTGTTTTTTGAAGAAAATGAGTTCTAAAATTGAGGGAAGAGTAATGAAGAAGTAAGACTTGATGTCCTCGAGTGGGGAGATAGTAACGAAGAGGGAAGTGAACATGATCAAAGTGAATAAGAATCGAAGAGGAGGTGGCAGTAGAAAGAGGATGAGGAGAGGTTAGCTTACCTTCAAATGAGTCACCTAGAGAGAATTCTCAAACATCCGAAGAAAGCTCATCGAAGGGAGGAACGGAAGAGTACCATTCCGGATGGAAGATTATGTAAGTGGAGGAGAATTTTCGAAGAAGAACTTGAGCATAATTTGGTTATGTTTACCTCAATTACGGATCCGACTACCTTTGAAGAAGTTGTTCGTAGTTCCAAATGAAGAGTCTGCAATGGACTTGGAGATAGAAACGATCGAAAGGAATGGGACTTGGGAGTTGACAGATTTTCCTAAAGAAATGAAGAAGATTAGAGTTAAATGGGTTTTCAAAACTAAACTCAACGAAAATGGTGAGGTTGACAAGTGTAAGGCTCGGTTGGTGGCGAAAGGGTATACACGAGTAGCACGGCATAAATTATACCGAGGTGTTTGCACTCGTGGCTAGGTGGGATACGATTCGAATGGTAATTGCTTTAGCGACTCGAAATGGTTGGAATGTGTATCAACTTGATGTCAAAAGCGCTTTCTTACATAGAGAGTTAAATGAAGCGAGTGTTTGTCGAGCAACCACGGGGTTATGAGAAGAAAAGTGAAGAGCATAAAATGTACAAATTGAAGAAGGCATTGTATGGCCTCAAATAAACCCCTCGTGCATGATACAACCGAATTCAAGCATACTTTGTCAAATAAGGATTTGAGAGGTGTAGTCGTAAACACATCTTATTCATAAAAACGGAAGATGAATGTAAAATTTTGATTGTTAGCTTATATGTTGATGATCTAATTTTTACTGGTAATGATGAGAGTATGTTTGTTAAGTTTAAGAATTCTATGAAACTTGAATTTGATATGACCGATTTGAGAAAGATGAAATATTTTCTCGGTGTAGAGGTTTTACAAAATTTTGAAGATATTTATATTAGTCAAAGAAAGTATGCAAAGGAAGTTTTGGAGAGGTTTAGGATGGAAAAGAGTAATAGTGTGAAGAATCCCATTGTTCCCGGCACTAGACTAATGAAGGATGAAAAAGGAGCCAAGGTGAATGCTACCATGTACAAACAATTGGTCGGGAGCCTTATGTATCTAACTACAACAAGGCCGGACTTGATGTATGTGGTGTGTCTCATTAGCGGATTCATGGCAAGTCCAATTGAGTTGCATTTGCAAGTCGTGAAAAGGGTGTTAAGATACATGAAAGGTATTGTGGATTTAGGAGTCTTTTATCAAAAGGGGGTAATGAAGAGTTGATGGCATATTCGGACGAGTGATTATGCAGGAGATGTAGATGACGAGAAAAGTACTTCGGATATATGTTTCTACTCGATGAAGGAGCCGTGTCATGGTCCTCTAAAAAGCGAACTTATGGTGACTTTATCTATTATCGAAGCAAAGTTTATGGCGACTGCTTCTTGTGCTTGTCAAGGGGTGTGGATGAGGAGAGTATTGGAGAAGCTCGGTCATTCTCAAGGCAAGTGTACCACTATGTTATATGACAATAGTTCTACCATTAAGCTATCCAAGAACCTAGTCATGCACGGACGCAACAAACACATTGATATAAGGTTTCATTTCTTGCGTGATTTGACTAGAGATGGAGTTGTTGAGTCGAAGCATTGTGGCACACAAGAACAAGTTGTAAACATTATGACAAAACCACTTAAGCCGGATATGTTCTTGAAGTTGTGTGAGTTACTCGGGTATGTGTGTGGTACTAGGAGTAAACCGAATACATTATTGCAATCGGTTTAGAGGAGGAATTGTTAGAGTCGTTAGAGTTATAGTTGAAGTTGTCAAACTTCATTCGGTTAATAATTCCTATTATTTAGGATATGTAGGTAGAATGACTATTTCCTTAGCCATTTACCACATAAAACTTGGGTTGTTTGTTTACATTTTATTTCTTTGTAAGGCTTATATAAGCTAACAGCTTGCTTTGAATAAATGATGCGTTTTGTGCTTAGAGATTATAACAGCATGTACACCTACAGTAAAATGCATAGTAACTTAAAGATTTTGTTTTAGTGTTTTTTTAAATACCATTATTCATTTAGAAATCAACATTTAATGGACAGTTGAAATAAAAGGGAAAGACGAACACGGGCGAGGAGAGGAAATTAGAAACACTAAACATAAGAGGGCAAGAAAGTAAGCGCATAGTTCCATTAAGGGGCAGAAACAAATAACGAAAGCATAATAAATAAAATAAAATCAAGGATTTAAAAGAGTAGAACTGAATCTGTTGTAACAGTAAATGCTACATTTTTTTTTTTTTTAAGTACAAAAAGAAACTTGTAATATAGAAGAATTCTATAATAGACATTTCGGTTCTTGCGTCCCATTCTCTGACAAAATTTTTATGGAAGATGGCATGGCATTCATAATGGAATTCTAAATTTAAAACAGTTGATTGAATCTTAATTTTCCAGAAAATTGAAAGCAAGTACAATTATATATCAGTTTTCTATACAACAATACAAACCAATGACAGCCTACTACGTTACCCCAGACAATAAGGGCAAAAGAATGAGGGATAAACAAGATTGGCGTTAAGAACACCAATCCAAGGTATCAGATTAATCAAATGGCAACGTTTCAAAATTGATGAAATATCATGCACAGGAGCCACTCCAAAATATGATGTCTTGGGTCATGAGTCTGGACCTGGAAATGTAAAAGGGAATCAGGAGAATTTAAAGATATCAATTATGGTAACTCCACAAACGTTAAACAGTAGGATCTATGACTGAACTTTTAAGTAAAGAACACTGAATAAGCTCATAGTGGGAACCAAAGAGCTTGTACCTCAGCAGTAGTGGTATCTTGCAACAAGAGGTCACAAGTTCAAATCCTAACAGACTACTTCTACTAGGAGCCTTGGGTGTATGAGTAAATAATAATAATAAAAAGCTCATAGTGGGAGTTTTCCCATGAATCATCCTCAAATCACCGATAACTCTACTATACTTCGCTACCATTCTGCTTTAACAGATACTCAAATCTGCACAAAGAAAGCTCAATAAAAGGGCAAAAGCCACAATACTCGGCCGCATTTCTAATTCAAATGAGAGTACCAACCACTTCAAAGATCTGCCTGTGATTCCAACTCATTAAGTAAATTAAACTTATTGCCAACCAAAAACTGGAAAAAGAAAAAACTCTTCAACTCTTGCTTTCCATGGAGAACTTATTGAGACTCTTTCTGCCAGTTATTTAGGTCTCTTCCAGTTCTTCACTTAAATCAAGCATTCTAAAATGAGGTTCTTATTTCTATGACATCATATAAATCACATATGTCACCCTTAATGGAATTTTTCATAATTTGTAAGAACTTCAATTCTGTTTCTCATGACCTAGTCATAGAAGGCATGCAATGCCAAAAATTCAAATTACAAAACTCCAGCAGTCCATAAAGAAAGAAAAAGAAGGAAAACATACAGTTTGAAAAATCAAATCTTTGCAGTTATCAAAAAAACCAAATCCTTGCAAAAGCAGGCTATACCTCAGGATAAGATGACCAGTCCAAGATATATGGATGCACTCAGAAATAAAAATGAGATCATTCCCCTGCAATTGAAGTCACACATAGAGAAGGATATTAGAATTGTTAAAAGTGTGCAATCTCTCCTTATCATAAAGATTGTCTCTAACAAATGTTTATAGTAAAGCTCACCATATGATTCCCCAACCAACACCACTACAAGGGCAAGGACAAACTTCTGCAAACTTCTCAGCATCACTAGAGTGGACTCTTCGAGATATTAGATCATCATAAATATCTGCAGACCGTATATATTTGTCAGAGGGAATCTATAATTATACTAATGGCCCATAGAAGAATGAGAGAATATTTACCATAAACCGAAAACAAACTGTTCATCACACCTGCAATTGCCAGACAGAATATAAGCTACATCTCTTTTTCATTGACCTTAACAGCGACATTATGGTATAGAAGCAAGTTCAAATAGAAAGGGAAGATATAACGGGACAAGCATACCAATAAAAAGAATGACATATCGAAGAATTCGTACAGTTGTTTTTTCTTGCAATACCCAAACAACAGCCAGGAAAATAATGAATCCTGAGACATGAGTTTGTTAAATACAAGATGTGAGCATTGAAGTCTGGATATCAACAACAACATATGAATAAATTGTTGATGGATAATCATGAAAACTCTCACCAATACAAAGTCCTCGAAGAGTCCACTGCTCAAACAGTAAAAATATATCGAGTGAGGCTATTAGGAAGTTAAGGCATGAGAAATCCTTTTAAATGAATGTAAATAAGCTAATACAGAGCATCAACTTAAGGGATTATAACATATTGTGGAAAATATAATATTCTTATGTCACTATCTTACATTCTGAGCAATAAAGAGAACAATTAGCAGAGCAACAGCCAAACAAGCAGCAGCTATTCTTGCAGTAATGAGATTTGTGGATGCAAGTACCAAAGCCATCCCCCAAAATGATGAACCAAGATCTGGAAGCACAAGGCAACAGCACAAACTGTGAATGCCACAAGGAAGCAGCATTATAGAGCATGTCTAAATTTGAGTATCTTAGAGACTTAGGAACACAATGAAAATCAAACAAGTTTATAGAAAAAATATCCAAACCAAACTCTTCAGGGCTCCTGTATAAGCTTCTAATGCATAAGCACAAGGAAAGATGGCACTATCAAATCGATGCTTCACACTGGACTCATAATTAAAAAATGAGCTCCACTAAAAGTTTGACATGCATTGTACTTATCCATAAACATGTATTGATTATAGATGAAAATAAGCCTTGTGATTGAAGTAGTTCAAGAATAGACAGGTGGGTGGGTGGGGGGTTGTGGGGGGAGAGAGCGAAGGGTGCAAGGTTGTGTGCACTTTGACGAAAAGAAAAATTTTCAAGGGAAGGGATATACATCCTGCTGGTAATATCAACCAGTATAAACCGCCGCGTGTTTTTGTCACTCCACCTTCATTTGCATGAACTTCAATCCCTTCCACCTGCATATTACAATGGATAATAATAAACTGAAGATGAGCATTATCCAACCAGAGATCAAGAACATAGTAAAAAATAAAAAAAGATGGTAACTGTCCACAATTAATTATGCTATTGAAACAAATATGAAATCTATCCATATCAGAGGAAGGAAAAAACTACATCATTTAAGGCAAAAATCATGGTGAAGGGTGAATGTACAACTAAACAATCAGAAGTCAGTGCCATACTTATGGAGACCAAGCAGGATGGCCTTACTGAATATTTCAATTGGAACTAACTATAATTCTGAAGAACCATTCAGAAAGTCAAATTAAGGAATGATGGACAAGACGAGTCACATTGACCAAATAATTCACTTAGATCATCGTTTCAATCAAAGCAGTGGTACTAAAGGCAACTTTGTGATTCACATTTCGAGGAAGCCAATTACTTCACTTCATAAAAACAGAAGCTAAAATACTGTAGAACCTATCTAACAAGAGTATGTAAAGTTGTGGGTTCCTCGTACGCATAATGGCATGTTCAATGATAACGTTATGGAAATCTATGAAATAACTGTTGATGAATGAACAGGTGAATTATCTCCATATGACTCCACTACAAAGTAAACTATGTGCATTTCTGTTACACAGCTTAAGGTTGTAAATAAAAAACCCAAATTCTCGTCATATTTTTCTTAATATGACAGGGAAGAAATCACAAATTGCATTAAGGGAATTTATTTTGAAGATCACTTTTATTAGTTATAAAGAAAAATGATAAACTACACCCCTGAGTGCCTGAAAATCTCAGCTGCCAATAAGCAAGAAAGCACCAAGGATACCTCATTATGCAAATGCTTTCCCATTAAAAGCAGAAAGCAGCAAGCTAGATAATATTCTAACAAACGAGTATATTATATAGAAACCATAGAATGCCACTTAAACAATGAGTCAAATTTTGAGGGAAGCAATACGACCTAACAGAACAAAGTAATTTGTTTTCTTTCAACCTCCCCAATCTTATCTTAAAACCATACTGTTAATAAAACTTAGTGCTGAAATTGAAAGCATTAACTTCCCAGTCCTGCCAAGAACATACGAGGGCAAAGAAGCTTCTTACCTGACCACATGTGAGTTTACAAGCAACCGCATGACTTGCTTCATGCAAAAATACAGTGATAAGCTTAAAGGGTGTCATTAAGAATGTCCTCCATAACTATAACCACAAAAATTCAACAACTCCTGTGTCAAAGTACAACTCCAACACAACTAAACAGCATAAAAATGACAAGGGCATCTCAATCTAACCTCAATTAATGTACCAAACTAAACAGCAGTAGCAACATAATTGAGCCAATTTTCATGAATTTCCCAGTCCTTCTTAATTCTTGAAAATTCAAGCAATTCCCTTAATTTGCATCAATTTTACTACTTTTTATCATTTCTCGCAACAAAATTGAGCCAATTAGAACTACTTGCAACTCATTAAAGCAAATCTTTGACCAAGCTGACTTGATCTTCTAATCTCTCAAAACATAAACAAAAGCAAACTTAAAAGACCCAAGAAGCAGAAAACCGTACGTACCGCTAGGATTACAACAGAGTAGATAGCAATAGTGACCAGGAAGGCAACCTGGTCATGTTTGCAGCAGTTCTTGAGTTCCCAATTGGGCATTTTCTGGTTTGGTTATTTCGAAGGTGAGAAAATGGGGAAAAGTCCGGAAAAAAACTACAAAAAGTAAGAAACTTTGATGGGCTCTTTGTTTTTTGAAATGAAATATCTCAATTTTCAAAAAAACAAAAGAAATGGCCTTTCAAGTTTATCTTTGTTAACGTTGTATTGTTAAAATGTCAGAGAGACAAGAAAGACAAGAAGAGCCAATTGCGTGTAAGATGGATTTTTTAAAGATTTTATTTATTTATTTTTTTTTGTGGCTTTCTTTTGAGCTTAGTTGTCTTTGGTGAGGGAACTGAATCTTGATTGGGTAGAAAAAGGAGATGCCTTCTGCCTTCTACTCTTCTTGCACTATAGTTTAAATTGTTAACAGTAGGTGGCCGGGTCAAGGTTGCTAAGTACTAGTGTGAAAACTGAAAAGGTGGAAATAGGCAATGTTTGAATGATCTTTAAAATAATACTCATATTTCAATGCATCACTAGGATTTTCAATTTCAATGTTATACTCTAGGAAATTTCCTTATGGGACGTGCTATTCACATGCCTAGCCTATTCTTAAATCCATTTATGTAACCTTTCACGTCAAGTATCATTTATCCACCAAATGATAAGTTTTTTTTCTTAATTAAAAAATAATGATGTTTTTGGAGACTATTTCGAGACTAATTTTTCTTTAAACGTAGCTAAAAAATACTTTTCAATACTCGATATCGGATATTTTGAGAATAAATTTTTAAAATTAATTAAGTTTTTTATCAACCGGTAATATATATCTTCATATTAAACTTAATGTATCAATTAAGATTATGTTATTTTTTGAGAATTTTAAAAATGTATCTCTCACCAACAATTAATTAGTAAAAACAAAAGGTCAAAAGTGTTAAATATGAAACATCTCCAGAACTTTAGTCTATTTGAAAATAAATTATTAAATTTTTAATTTGTGTTTTAACTAATTTAATATATCTTTCATTTTTCTATCATTTATTTTTTTAAAAATGACAATTACATGAATGGTTTCATGATGAAAATCATTATGTGAGATTTATCTAGAACTAACAAAAAAAATTTGGGATCATTGCAAAAAAAATTTCTTATTTTTTATATTTTTAATGTTCAAAAAATAAAAATAAAATACAATTTTAACCTTAAAATATTTCTGATTAAAAAAAAAACAGATTGGATTTTTTTTTAATATATATGCAAAATTTCAAATCAAAATACTAAGAATTAAATTTTTTGAAAAAGAAGAGTATTAATCGAAAATCATAAGATTGATTATATATATAACTTCAGACAGATAAAAACATAAATTAAAAGTTTAAAAATTAATTTTTAAATGAAATAACGTTGAGAAAAAAATTGGTCTTTTTAACCAAAACAGAAAGACAAACAAGAAATCTATCATGTACTTAATCCCAAAATATCAAAACCAAAATTCTTGTACAGCATGGCGTCAAAAGAATGTTAGCAAATTTAGGAAAGGACGAACGACACATTTACACATGAACATTAAGCTTTTATTTTAAATGTCAATTTAAAATATTAAACAAGTCTGAAAACATACTAAGGATAATTTTGTACTTTCATATGAAAAAATTCAAATTCAAATGGCCGGACAAACCCTAGTCACGTGTAGAAAGCATTTAGTGTTATATATATATATATATATATATATATATATATCTCGTAAGCCCATAAATTATTGAAAAAGAGACCTCAATCTAGTTCCAAGCGTATTATCTGAATATTAGTTCAGTCCTAAATTTTTTATTTTATTAATTTTATATAATAGACTTTAGAAAATATCATTCGTCAATCCATGTAATATTAGTGATAGTTGAATATTTCATTAAATTTAGTTAAGTATTTTCATTAAAACGACAAAATAAACTTCAACACGTTATATTAAATCATTTTTTGTATTCGAATTACTTAAATAGAGGGAAAAAAATTACAATTATTTGATGCTGAAAATCGTCTTTTACAACATTTTGGAACTTATTTTAACATATTAGATAGAAGCATTTAACGAATACATATAATTTAGATAAGGATACCGTTAAATTCACTACATTAATTGTTATTCTCATCATTTGTTTCTAGACATTTATTGATATACCCTTCTTCAATGTTTCTTAGATAATAGTTCTATATATTTTACATTAAATGCCCAAAATATCCACCAATATTATTTTCTTATCTTCTTTCACGCTTAACACACAAACACAACAAAAAGTTTTTGCAGTCCACACCATTCAATATAACAAAGGGAATTATAAACAATTCGGAGACAAAGAAGACGATGATCGGTAAAATTCCCTCAATTGTCTTCACCCCTATAACTTAAGAGCACTTGATATTTACAAGGTTGAAACGGTGAAGGAATAATGCTCTTTAAATTTGTAGACTCGTAAGGTAAAGAATTGTTAAGCCTATATCTTATTAAATTTGTTTACATGTCCCAAGATGGATCGACCAAATTGGAGTATTTATTTTATCTTACCTTTCTTTTAGGCATTTTTCAAGTTGTTCCCTACCAATCAACTCCAGCTCTTTCGGAGGAATATTTGTGCTTTCAACATTCGGATGTAGTCGAACTTGCTCGCAAACATTTAGAAGCACAAAAGTAGTAGGAAATGAAAGTCAACGAAGATGCTCATTTGGCTAATACAATCTTAAAATTTAGAAAAAAAAAACAAGTTCAATTTCTTTGCGAACTAACAAAATCGGTTATTGGGTTCATCACCTCTTTTCTAACGACTTGACGAGATTAGATCGGATCGGATCAATAAGTTGTTGTAAGAAATTTTGGTATAATAATTACTTCGATCAACCTTTTAAGCAGTAACTAACAAAATTATATGATTCTCAACAACGAAACAAAAACTAAAGCGAGATAATAATTACATCAGTTTCAAAAGAATTACATAAGACAAAGAGATTGAGTACCTTCGGGTTTCCTTTCATTTTTTCTTAAGTTATGGTTGATGCTCGCGTCGCTTAAGCTTCAAGTCAACTCGCTTCTAATCTTATTATCCAAAGTTGGATTTTATTATTCGAAAATCCTTATCAAACGGAGCCTAACTATCTTCCTAGTATTTTTTCTTCAATAGCGAGGCGAAGGAAATGGATTTTATTCAATATTTTTATGTTGGAGAGACTTTTGGTATTTTGATGGAAAAACTTCAAAAACAATATAGGCTCAACTATCTTTTTTTATTTTGTCATGTGTTAATTTTAATGGGTATTTAATGTAAAATATACGTAACTATTATGTAAGAAACATTGAAGGAGGGTATATCGGTAAATGTCTAGAAAATAAATGGTAGGTATAAAATTAATGTGGTGAATTTAGCAATACCCTTTAGATAAATTATTGTACTCGTCACCGATAATGAATAGATTGAGAGATAATATTGTTTAATGTTTATTATATCTAAAACAAAATTGATAAAATCAAAAGATTTTAAATTCGAGTTGATAATAAGATAACATGTTAAAAAGATAAATTGAGCTCTTCCTTTTTTTTAAGAGAGAGAGAAAGAGAGAGAGAGGGACAAGAGGTGTTCACATAAAAATTAAAAGAAGGGTAAGAAGTTAGTAAGAAAGGAACAGAGTAAATCATGAAAAAAAAGTGACAACGAGAAGTAGCTTTTTAAAAGCTACCAATCCATGCTAGATTAATAATAAGACATAATTATCATTCATTTCAATAGCGTCGTTAATCATTTTTAACATAAGTTATCATATACTTCAAAATGTATTTTTATCTAGAATTTGTATAGATTATAGAAAGTGTGTTTGTTTTTAAGAATGACAAGTACTTTTAAAGAAGACGATTTTATTTAATCAAATGTCAAATATACCATCTATATATTGAATAATATATTTACAAAAAGTTTCTTTGACAATATTTTTCTGAATTCAAATGGAGATAATAATGAAAAAAAAAATTCTTCTTTAAATAAGGTACTTTTTAATCTATTTTCTTTTCCAAAATAAGATACTTTAAATCTTATTTATTAAAAAAGGGTTGTTTTTGCTAGCCATCTGTATCTTTTTTTTATTAAGTGGTTACCATATAATTTTAAAATAATAATTTTAAAAAATTAGAAACAAAAAAGAAAAAAGAACTTACGCTCTCTCTTTTCTTATTGTTGTCCTAATCTTTTAAAGTTCAAATACTCTCATAATTCAAAATCATAATTACTAAAAAATATTTAACATATAAATATCATCAATTTAGGTATTTTTCTAATTATTTATTTAATTTTTACAATTTTTTTCTTTTAATTTGTATATTGTACATTCTTAATTTTGAGAGTTTGTATTTTAAGAAGAATTTCACAACATGTGTTTTTAAATTTACCATAAAAAATTGTCAATCTAACCACTTGTTTTTTTTAGAATTATCAATTGTTGGCACTTCAAAATTCAAAATCATATTTTGATCGGGTATGACATCTTCTTACGATAAAACAATGAAACATAAGTGGAACGAGTGCGTTTGGACTTATAGACCAACCAAATTTCGATGGAGCATTAAGTTTTAAGTGAAACGATGCATTTGGTAGTATAACCAATCGAGTTTTGATGAAACATTGAGTCTTAAGTGAAAAGGAGTGTTTGGTAATATAACCAAACAGGGTTTCGACGAGATCATAAGACATAAATGAAACGATGCGTTTATAGCCACAATCAATCGATTTCGATGAGATAATATGCCTAAGGGAAATAAAGAGACAATTACCAAATAACTCGTTCGCATTTAAATTTAAAGCAAATGCAATTATCAATTGAAAGCTACTTAAAGAAGAAGGACTAACAAAATGGGACACGATCAATAAGATAAAACTTTTTCAATACAAGTTTATTCAATTTCTATAGTTTACCCCGTAACGGTTAGATTCTATTTTCCTACAAATAGTTCAATAGCTTTTTACCGCCTTTAGCATTTTCATCTTTGTACTTTAAGAAGTGTTGATTGTCAATAATTG